AAAAAAAAAAAAAAAAAAAAAAAAATCTCAGGCGATCTTAAGGGTGGGGGTGATATGGAGAAATGCCCTCTATTGTTCCCATTCGATCTTGTCAAACCCCCACCGGTACTTCATCGATCAGGACCCCCTCATGTGTACTTTCCAAAACTGTAAACCCAAGGCCCTTTCACATGTAATATCTAGAGTTGCGAGCCTGTATAAAGGCGCAGGTTTCCTCTGATAGACCAGCTTGGCTGTTAGGCAGCTATGCCACCTTGCTCCCGGCCGAATAAATCACCCCTTCCTTCCCAGTTCGGTGTTCCAGAGGTCTGTTTCGTACAGCCGCTCCTGCTTCAGCTCCACACTGAAATGACCATCACAAAATAACTGCCTTAGGAGTCTACTTGCCCATGGGATTGGTCCCTCTGCAGATAGAACTTGAATACCAGTCAGCCAGGCCAGAGCCAGCTGCAGCGCAGACCAGGAGGCCCTCAGGGTCAAAGGCTGAGGTGCCACCTTAGCTGGGGAGGAGGCAAGCCTTTAATTGCGCTCCCTTGAAAGGGACCTGAGGCTGCTCTGCTCACGTTAATTTCAGTTACTTATAAGTCTTTTTTTTTTTTTTGAGATGGAGTCTCCCTCTGCCGCCCAGGCTGGAATGCACTGGCACAATCTTGGTTCACTGCAACCTCTACCTACAGGTTCAAGCAACTCTTCTGCCTCAGCCTCCTGGCTAGCTGCGATTACAGGAAGGCACCACCATGCCCAGCTAATTTTGGTATTTTTAGTAGAGACAAGGTTTCACCACGTTGGCCAGGATGGTCTTGAACTCCTGACCTTGTGATCCACCTACCTCGGCCTCCCAAAGTACTGGGAATACAGGTGTGAGCCACCGTGCCCGGCACTTAAAAGTCTTAAGAAGAAACGTTAGTGAGGCGTTGCATTCTCCTGGCACTCCTGTCATGACCCCATTTACAGATGAGGACACTGAGCTCCCAGACTTGCCCAGGTCCCCAGGCTGGTGGGAGGAGAAGCCAGGGCCTGCAACTGTCACCTCCACCAAGTCCTTCCTGGATGACCCTGAGCGCCCAGAGCAGTGATAAGAAGGGACCAAGTTGTCATGAGGAACACCTCAGGGTCAGCCCAAGGAGCGGGGTTTTCCTTCTGTGGTGTCCCTGCCAATCAGGCAGAAAGGCGCTGGGACAGGCTTGCCTCCTCCCTTCCCTGAATTCATGTTAAAAGGAAATCATCGGCCAAGCATGGCAATTCATGCCTGTAATCCTAGCACTTTGGGAGGCCAAGGTGGGTGGATCACCTGAGGTCGGGGGTTCGAGACCAGCATGGCCAACATGGCAAAACCCTGTCTCTACTAAAAATACAAAAGTTAGCCTGGTGTGGTGACACACGCCTATAATCCTAGCTACTCGGGAGGCTAAAAGAGGAGAATCGCTTGAACCTGGGAGGTGCAAGTTGCAGTGAGCCGAGATTGCGCCATTGCACTCCAGCCTACGCAACAGGATGGAGACTTCATCTCAAAAAAACAAAATGGAAATTGTGGCTGGGTGCGGTGGCTCACACCTGTAATGCCAGCCCTCTGAGAGGCCAAAATGGGAGGATCAGCTGAGCCCAGGAGTTCGAGACCAGCCTGGGCAACCTGGCAAAACCCCACCTCTACCAAAAATAAAAATAAAAAATTAGCCAGGCATGGTGACGCACACCTATAGTTCCAGCTACCTGGAAGGCTAAAGTGGGAAGATCACCTGAGCCGTTGAGGCTACAGTGACCTATGATGGCAGGACTGCACTCCAGCCTGGGACACATAGCAAGACCCTGTCTCTAAAATAAATAAATTATACACACACACACACACACACACACACACACACACACACGTGTATTTTTTTAAAAGAAGCCTGGCACAGTGACTCAAACCTGTAATCCTAGCACTTTGGGAGGCCAAGATGGGCAGATCACAAGGTCAGGAGTTTGAGACCAACCTGACCAATATGGTGAAACCCTGTCTCTTACTAAAAATACAAAAATTAGCTGGGTGTGGTGGTGCACACCTGTAATCCCAGCTACTTGGGAGGCTGAGGCAGGAGAATTACTTGAACCCGGGAGGCGGAGGTTGCAGTGAGCTGAGATCCCACCATGGCACTCCAGCCTGGATAACAGAGTGAGACTCTGTCTCAAAAAAAACAAAAGCTAAAAAGGAACCCCAGCCTCCAAGACAGGATGTGGGCTCTGAAGCTGGACACTAGAGTTCAAACCCAGCTGTGTGAGCTTCACAAGTGATGTCTCCCCTCTGAGCCCAGCCTCATCTAGAAGACAAGATGACCATGGTGCCTCCCCTGCTCCCCAGGGCTGTGGTGAGGATCTCATGCTCAGCGCCGGGCCATATTCATCCTCTGGGAAGGATTCGGTGAGTGAATGCAGTTGTTCTGCTTAATGCCCAGATCCCACATCCCAGGACCAGCCAAGGCAGGGAGAATTCAGAAGCCATCGGCATGCTGTGGCCTCCGGGCTTCCTATCACTTGGGCCGCTGCTCTGCCTTTAATCCTGCCTGTACCTGCAGCAGGGCCTGAGCCTGGCTCTCGGCCAAGATCCTCACTCCCCAGGATCCACCCGCATGCGGTGCCAGAGCCAGCCTCGTCTCGCCTTTGAACTGGACACAGAGGAAGACAGAGGTAGTTCTAGGAAATCATTGCTCTACTAAAATACCCGGGGAGGAAGCAACAGGTGCCCGCGCCCTTTCTGCATTCTGCCACCAGGACAGCCGACGAGCTCAGCCTATGACTTTTCAGACTCACCATCCAGTGCGGCAGACGCCGCTGGAACTTTTTTTTTTTTTAAAGAAGGGACCAGGTCCAGCTCTGGGACTCCTTATTGTTGTTTTGGTTCATGGACTCGGATTAGTGGGGAAATTCCTTCCCGAACACCCCGATGGTGTCCGGCCGAGAGCTGGCCTTGGGAGGCTGCAGTGGGCTTGTCAGTGACATCTGCCGGGAATTGGGAATTTCCACTTAAATGTTTCTTGGACTCCTGTTTTGCCGGTTTCCACTCCACCCAGCTATCAGATCTCCCGTGCCGGGAAGCCACCAGGCTTTGTGCTGTCACGCTACCACACTCCACCCTCCAGAACCTGCTTCTCTCGGAGACACTCACTGGCTCTCCCCGTGAGAGCTCTCCCCAGAACCCAGCCTGGTGGCACGGCAAGTGAGTAAGTACGTGCTTTTGAGCCAGAGAGGAGAAGGTGCAGGCCTTGCTGACCCACGGGGCTGGCAGGGAGGCACCCGGGGGGCTAGAATAGGTGCCCAGCTCCAAGCCCCGCACATACCTTGGCCATGTTTCCGATCCCAGGGCTTTCCTGGCAGGGCATCGAGGGAAGCAAGGATGACCTGGGCCGGGGCCCCCAGGGTGGCACGTACCTTCTTCCGCAGCCTCACTTGGCCCGTGATGATGGCCACCACATACATCTTGATGACCAGCAGCGTGCTGCAAAGCAGGAAGGCCGGGAGGGCCGGGCTGCTCATCGCCAGGCTGTGGGCAGGCATCTCTGGCCAGCGCAGCTCAACTGTGGGTGTGATCAGCTCGACGGAGGAGAAGCCTGCGGGGAAAGCAAAGTGGGCGGAGAGCCTTTTGCAGCCAGAACGGCCAACGCCCCGCCCCATGACAGCCTCGGCAGGGCCCCCTTCTGTGAAAAGAAACAAAAGCAGTCCCTGGAGCTCCAAGAAGTAGAGAGCCCCAGTGTGCCCCGGACCCAGCCCCTGGCTCTGGATCCCTCCTCCCTGACAAATCATCACTTTCAAATCTGTTTCAAAGCTGCTTCCTTATCTGTAGTATGGGAGCGTGTGGTGGTGCCTGCCTTCTAGGGGAATGACAAGGCCGGCACCTGGCAGGAACTCTGCACATAGTGAGCATCACTGCTTCCTGCTCACCTCCCGCAGGGTCAGGGTAGGTGGTGGGCGTGAGAACCACGCCACGCGCCCCTCACTCAGCCTGGACACTGGAGCTGCAGGCACATCTGCAAGGACATGACTTTGCCATCTGTGGCAGGCTGAAGCACCCCCTCCATCCCCACCAACATCCATGTCCCAATCCCTAGAACCCGTGACTGTGACTTTCTGTGGCCAAAGGGACTTTTCAGCTGGGAGTTAGTAAGGATCTTGAGACAGGAAACCTGACCCTACTTCATCTGGGTGAGCCCAGTATAATCAGAGGGGCCCTTCCATGAGGGAGGCCGTAGAATTAGAGAAAATACATAAAAACAGACGCAGAATTAAGACAGGAGATGAAAGGACAGTGCAGGAGTCAGACAGGAGAGATGCTACCCTGCTGGCCTTGAAGATGAAGGAGATCATGGCCCAAGAAATACCAGTGGCCTCTAGAAACTGGAAAAGGGGGCCGGGCTCGGTGACTCATGCCTGTAATCCCAGCACTTTGAAGGCCGAAGTGGGCAGATCACGAGGTCAAGAGATCAAGACCATCCTGGCCAACATGATGAAACCCCATCTCTACTAAAAATATAAAAATTAGCCGGGTGTGGTGGTGGGCACCTGTAGTCCCAGCTACTCAGGAGGCTGAGGCAAGAGGATCGCTTGAACCTGGGAGGCGGAGGTTGCAGTGAGCTGAGATCATGCCACTGTACTCCAGCCTGGCTACAGAGTGAGACTTCGTCTCAAAAAAAGAAAAAAGAAAAGAAACTGGAAAAGGGGACGAAATGAACTCTCCCCGAGCCTCCAGACAGAATGCAGCCCTGCCCACACTTTGATTTTAACTCTGTGAGGTCCACTTCAGGATTCATCTGCCAGAGCATTCTCCCCACTGCACTCTAGCCTGGATGACAGACCAACACAGAGAATGAGGCTGTGTTGCTGCAAGCCATTAAGTCTGTGGCAATTTGCTATAGCAGGGAGGGGGAACCAGCACGTGGCTCCACTGACTTCCTGACCATCACTTGACTTTTCAGGGACTCTTTCCCCAGGCAAACTGTTTGATTCTTCATCACGAGATCTCCCCGAAAGACCTGATGACTCTTTGGTAGAAAGCCTCAATGGGCCTGGCGCGGTGGCTCACACCTGTCATCCCAGCATTTTGGGAGGCCGAGACGGGCTGATTGCTTGCACTCAGGAGCTTGAGACCAGCCTGGGCTACGTAGGGAGACTCCATCTCTATAAACAAATTTAAAAATTAGCTGGGCATGGTGGTGCTGGCCTGTAGTCCCAGCTACTCAGGAGGCTGAAATGGAAGGATCACCTGAACCCGGAAGGCTGAGGCTGCAGTGAGCCATGATCTCCCCACTGCACTCTAGCCTGGGTGACAGAGCAAGACCCTGTCTCAAAAAAGAAAGCAGGATCAATGGTTTGTGTCCTAAGATTCTTTAAATCCCTCACCTCAAAATCCTCACCGTGGCCAGGGACGTTGGCTCACACCTGTAATCCCAGCACTTTGAGAGGCCGAGGGGAGTGGATCACCTGAGGTCAGAAGTTCCAGACCAGCCTGGCCAACATGGAGAAACCCCCTCTCTATTAAAATTGCAAAAATTAGCCAGACGTGGTGGCAGCCACCTGTAACTCCAGCTACTCGGGAGGCTGAGGCAGGAGGTGGAGGTTGTAGCAAGCCAAGATCATGCCACTGTACTCTAGCCTGGGTGACAGAGCAAGACTCCATCTCAAAAAAATCCTCACCTTGCTGCATCGTGCTCCCTTCCCCAGGTTCTGGGCAGGACCACTACAAGGGCAGGGATCTTGTACACGGTGCTTGCTCATTTATTTTTGCCAACATTTCAGCTTTGCTGAGAGGTACGCTGGGGAAGCAGGGCAAAAGGGAAAGGGAAAAGCCAGTCTCCCGTGCCTGCTGCACTCTTGGGCTTGCCCGGGTGCTTAGGGACCGCACCTGCTCAGAGGGACAACTGTGTCAGTCCAACCTATGCCCCAAAGCCCCAGAGATCAAAGGGAAGATTAAGCAGAGCCAGATTTAGCCGGCTTCGAATCCCAAAGCCAGCCCTCAGCTGCGGCTCTGTGGCCTTGGGCAGACAGGATCCCCCTCTGAACTGGTTTCCTCAGCTGTAAAATGTAGCTGACCCTAAGTGACTCCCCACCGCAGTTGTGGGAGCTAAAAGGAGTCTTGTCTATCAGCCATAATCATTAAGACCCTGGCACACAGGTAGCCTCTGTTCAGCATCAGCCTCTGAGCTTCAGGTTCCTCCTGCTCAAAGTGATTAATGATCCCTCCCTAGCAAGGTTGTCAGAAGAAAGACTCACAGAATACCCTGCCCTTGCTGCCGGGGGAGGCGGGTGGGAGCAAGGTGGGGGTGGCTCCTGGCCCATTTGCTGTGTGCCAAGCAGTCCTTTATCCGAACAAAAGATGTGCTTGATAAACTGGCTCCCATGGTTCTAAAGCGTGGGGAACTGCCAGACCAGGCTGTCCCAATCCCGCAAGATAAATGATAGGTCACCGTACCATCAGGGACGGGCCATGGAACGTACAAGATGTCCTGAGACACGTTTTATCTCTGTTGTATGTCAGAGGAGCTGTACAAGCTTGTTTCTTGCTGATATTTCTGTTGGAGAAGAGAAGACATCTGCCTCTCTTGCCCCCAGCCCGAGGAAACCCCTGCAGGCAGCTACCTTCCTTGTCAAAAAGCTCAGTGATGAGGTTGGGATCTGGTGGCTGCACCACCCCTAGAATCATGGACCAGACACAGCCCAAGAGGGGCCCTTTGGTTGTCCTCCTTGGACTAGGGAGCCTGGCTCTTCCCTGCTTGGTCTTCTGATATAACAAGATAGAAAGCAGAGGCTGGGAAACCAGGGGGGGGCAAAGAGCAGACGATCAGCTCTTGCTCCCTTGAGCTGAAAATCAGAGAGACTTGGCCAGGCCCTGTGGCTTATGCCTGTAATCCCATCACTTTGGGAGGCCGAGGCAGGTGAATCACTTGATGTTGGGAGTTTGAGACCAACCCGATCAACATGGAGAAATCCCGTCTCTACTAAAAATACAAAATTACCGGGGCACGGTGGCGCACGCCTGTAATCCCAGCTACTCAGGAGGCAGAGACAGGAGAATCGCTTAGAACCTGGCAGACGGAGGTTGCGGTGAGCTGAGATCACCCCATTGCACTCCAGCCTGGGCAACAAGAGTGAAACTCTGTCCCATCTCAAAAAATGAAAAAAGGCAGTAAGAGAGACTCTGTAGGGGAACTATGACTGATGGGTGTGACCTCAAGGTAGGAATCTTTTCCTCACTGTCTACTGAAATGAACCTGCTAAGCCAGGACCTGCCAAGGAGGGCACAATCTCTGATATTTGGCCAAGACGTTCCAGGAAACTGCCTTTGGCCAAGGGAAGCTGCTGTTCTGGTTTTTGGGGTCACGGTGATGGTGGTGTCACTTCTCTCTGAGCTTCCATTTCTTTGCCTGTAAGATGGGCTTGCCGTCCCCTGCCTGCAGAGGGTGGGGGACAGAAATGGCGTGTGTACAGGGCTGAGGGCTGGGGGACACTCACTGTGGCCTGGTTCTGAGGTCCCCAGGAACCACAGCAGTGTACTCATACCAGTGAGGATAAGAGAAGCCCCTGGAAATATTTTACATCTTTTCCTGGGTGATGATTACCCAGGTGGATACATATGTCAAAAGTCATTGAGATGGGCTGGACCCGGTGGCTCACGCCTATAATCCCAGCACTTTGTGAGACCAATACAGGTGGATCACTTGAGGTCAGGAGTTTGAGACCAGCCTGGCCAACACAGTAAAACCTTGTCTCTACCAAAAATACAAAAATTAGCCGGGCATGGTGGCGTGTGCCTGTAATCCCAGCTACTCAGGAGGCTGAGGCAGGAGAATCGCTTGAACCCAGGAGGTGGAGGTTGCGGTGAGCCAGGACCGCACCACTGCACTCCAGCCTCGGCGACAGAGCAAGACTCCGTCTCAAAAAAAAAAAAAAGTCACTGAGCTGTATCTTCAAGGCTTTTTACTTTATTATATTTTCTTTGACACACGAAAGTGAAAGTTCTTCCTAGCCCCATTCTACAACCCTGAGCAGAGGCGCTGCCCTGCAAAAGCTATCCTGCGGCATAGTCCAGCGCCCTTCTTGGCATTTCCTGAGGATCAGAAACCAAGCTCTTTACATTGGCTGATTGCCCCTAACATCAGAGGAGGCTTAGAGAAAGGAGGAAGTGGCCCTGCCTCGCTGCTGGTTCCTGACTTTTGGGAGTATTGCTAGGCTTTCTGTAGCCCCTGATGGGGAAATAAATGCACGGTGATTTTATTTTATTGATTTATTTATTTTTGAGACCGAGTCTCACTCTGGTTGCCCAGGCTGGAGTGCAGCAGTGCGATCTCCACTTATTGCAACCTCCACCTCCCAGGTTCAAGCGATTCTCCTGCCTCAGCTTCCAGAGTAGCTGGGATTACAGGCATGCATCACCACACCTGGCTAATTTTTGTATTTTTAGTAGAGATGCGGTTTCTCCATGTTGGTCAGGCTGGTCTAGAACTCCTGACCTCGTGATCTGCCCACCTCAGCCTCCCATAAGGTGCTGGGATTACACCGTGCCTGCTCACGGTGATTTAAAAAAAATGTAGCTGAAGTGACTCAGACTTGCACCATA